CCTGGCCAAAGGCGGGATTGTTGGACGGGTCCAGCGGAGTTTCTCTTGCGTAGAGCCCTAAGAAATGCCGCAGCCAAAAAAAAGCAGCTGGAACTTTACTGTATACAAATCAGAACCCTCAACTGCCGTGCTAAATGAACAGAATGTTCCCGAACATCAGAGGGCTCGAGGGCAGCTGGGGTAAAAAAAGTTGGGGTATGGGAAGTAGGCTCTAATATTGAATATAATAGAGTATGTACTAGGGATACTTTAGCGCACCTACCTTCATCCCGCCTTTTGAACCCCCTGAAAAAAGCAGCATCTTCTTCTGCAAACCCGTTCTGTTTGCTGTTTTTGTTGCCCTTTGCCCACAGGGCACTCTCCAAACCCCATGCCTGCGCCCCAGCCTAAAGCCCCAAAGGCTAGACCCATACTCATACTACAGGGGCCTTAACAATTACTGGCTAGCAGTCTATACCGTCGTTTCTCATGACTAGAAGGCCCCATGATCAACCCAAAAATACGGTGATTTTCTCCTAGCATATAAGGACCCCAGCAAAATACCCGGAGTGTTGGGAAACCTCCCGTGGACCCCCCTCCCTGTAATAGTGGTATAAGAGTTAATGGTAATTATATTAGGGTCCTCTTATAGTCCTATTATATCACTATTACAGGGTGGGGGGTCCTCCTAACACATATCCTACAAGATCCGGGTTTTGCATGCTGCGCCGTCCCAAGCCTCACACCTGCGCTATCCCGCGCTATGCGTGATCTCTATCCCGAGGGCTCCAAGTAGCCCAATGCAGGTACTTTCATAGACATTGGGACCCAATGTAGGGAGTATTTTAGGTGGACCCCCCACCCAGCAATAGTGACTATAAGGGATAATAGGGATTATATTAGGGTCCTCTCATATTCCTATTATACCACGATTACAGGGTGGGGGGGGTCCTCCTAAGGAGTATTTATAAACATGGAGCTCCAGGGTATGAAATTGCATGCCGTCTTCAAAGCCGTGATATTTCTGCTGAGGGTTTTTTTTGACGACGCAGCGAAATCTGATCATTCTCATCAAATCCCTGGCGCAGAACCCAACAAAAACGTAAACATCTTAACTTACACGAGGAACTATTCTGAAGGGTCCATGCACCTATATACTATATACTTGTGGGCCACCTACCATAAACCTACATGAGCTTTAGTACAAACTCCTAGCATCCCCCTCAATAACCGCCCTATGAGACTCCCCTATATAATCCCCTATATGACCCCTTTAAGGAGTTTAGACTATGACTCATATGGACCCTAGGGTATCCCTAAACGCTGCAGCCCAAAACCCACACAGCGGAAGTACCTGGCCATCTTCGTCATCAGCTCCTGTGCTGGACGCCTGGCTAGGGTTTAGGGTTTAGGGTTGTGGACTACTGTCGATAGAAAATCCTGAGCCCAAGACCCTAAATCCTGTACAAGGTTCCCCAGTAACCCCGACGTAGTAAGGGTACCCGTTTACCCAAGTATTCAGCTTTGGGAAGCTGAACCCGAGAAACCAGAACAAAGGGTACTACTGAGGTAGCTCGTGCATCTTTGGTCCCTAGACATCACCCCAAATGCCTTAAGTAACGTTTGGCAACTATGAGAGTAGAATATCACAAATGATGTAGGATTTTGGCGGTCAGCCATACCTACTGGACCTTTCTGTCTGCTTTCGACTGTCGAATGTGGTAGGCGTCAACGACTCTAGAGCTTAAGAAATTTAGGGCTTCCCGGGGCCTGTGAGCTTTTTGGTGTGGATCTAGGACGATGTTGAGTTTCAGGTAGATAGGTAGATTGGTGGTTTACCACTAGCCGAGCCACACTCCACATCAATTATAGTCTAAACTCCTGAATAAGGGGGTTACATAGGGTTTTGGTTTAGGGTTAAGGTTTAGGGTTCCAACTCCTTGAAGCAGGTCATATATGGGAATATATAGGGAAGTATTGTAGGTGCTACTACGGGAGATACTATGTTTCTCATAAACTTATGTTCCAACACGAGGCTCTGCTGTCTATACCTGACCTCTTTTGAGGTATCTGCGACATCCCTCATGACATGATGTCCTTGGAGCTTATAGTTTCTTCTTAAGTAGATAGAATATGGGGTATATGGGGATCCTATTACGATCTTGCGGGTTCCATATTCTATCAACTTAAGGAGGACTAAGGGAGTCTGGAGAATGTAGGATTGTCAGGGCTCCAATGCTGATGCGGTTGCCAGACGTGACAGTGACAATGAAACAGGCGACTACCATCTTCTTTCGAAAGCACTGAGCCCAATGCGTATAGGACAGGGGAATCGAGACAAGCTGTGCTATCTTTGAAAATTTTCTCAGTTTCTAAAGCAAGTCATGTGATGCTCTCGGAGCTGTTGAGTTCATGAAGCTCCTTGTGCGACGGACAGCGAGGATCTTGGCGGTGTCTCGAGGTCCATGTAAGACAGACCAACTCGGTTGCTGTTAAGGACCTTAAATGAAGTTACCATAATGGGCATATATACGTATACATATAGTAATTGATATGGTTTTCCCAATGTAGTAACTTGAATTAACTCCTCAAATTCCTATATTACCCCGGTGTCCATTTCATGTTCTATTGTATTTCCCATCTGATTCCCCATTATAGGGGGATAATATAACTTAAATAAGTCCGCTAGCAGCAACCCAGATAAGGTTCTTGAGCTTCTTCAGCAATAGAATGCGGGCTGGGATGTGGGAATCCATATGGAAAGTTATCAGAATATGAACCGTTACTGGGTGTGGTATAAAGGCACCCTGTAAGGGTATTCTGCTGAAAATGTACTACTGTACGTCCCAACATCTATAGGGTACCCTGCTCCATTGAAAGGTCCCAGCCACAGGCCAAGAATATGGGCCCTACCTGTCTCCTGGGTCCTAAATGGGCCCTGAATATGCAATTGTGAGGCTCCACAGGGTATACCAGGAGTAAGAGCCCCATATTAAGGGAGTCTTCCAACCTTGTATCTTGCTTCCAGCAGCCAAAGCTATAGTATGTACTCTGATGGCATAGACTGGCATCCTCCCACCGAACCCTTATAAGGCTTTGTAATGCCTAAACCCTCAACCCTTACCGTTTTAGGCTTACCTGAACGCCAAAAGTATGTAAAATAATAGCCCTAAACCCCTAATAATAACCATAAAGGCCATCATTTTGCATACTTTTCGGGTCAAGTAGGGCCTTAAAGAAATGAAAGCAGAGGAAAACCCCACTGTGCTTCAAACTGCGCGCGCCACCCGCCCGGGACGTCCAGCTTTGCAAACGCGTTCGAGAGGTGTGCCAGGTCCTTCATGTGGGGGTTTCCTTAAATTAGATTTTGGGGGTGCCTATAATGGGGATTATAGTATTTTGGGGTCTATATTGCGGTCCCCTTATTTTGGGAAACTACCATGTCTATATGTTTAGGGCTTAAGGTGTAGGCGCTTTAGGATAGGGTCCACAGGTCCAACACGGGTTGTTTCGGGGCTTGAAAACTTGAGAGATCTCTCGCCTCAGCGCAACTAAGAATGAGAAGCATAGCGGAAATCTTCTGAGTCTCTACATGCTACTCAGATACATCTTCATTGTATCAGGTGCAGGGGAGGGTTACTCAGACAAGCAGCTGAGGCATCAGATTGAGCAGGGATGCCTGCGAAATATTATGTCACTTGCAAGTATACCCTAAACTCCCTGAACCCTCACCCTGAACCCTAAATCCCCCAGACCCCAAACCATGAACTGGTGGTTTCAATCTTTACTTCTCGCATGGGAGTCCTACAAAACAAGCTCCCCCCAAACAAGCTTTGAAACGTTCTCCACCACTCAGAAACTGGGCTTACTCAGAACCATGCACAATTCTCGCGCCTTCTTTTTACAGGCTATAATTAGGGACCGAAAGAAAAAAGTAGTTTCTGAAGGTCGGGATTTGGATGCCCGGAAGCTCCTCAAACGAACCTCACATTTCACAGAGGCAATTCTTCCACTGTTTGACTGGGCCACTTAAACCATCCTAAACCCTAAACCCTAAACCGAAACCTTAGAGCCGCTCCTAAGCCTTATGTAGCCCTCAAACCCTAAACCCTACACCCTAAGCCCTCAACCCTAAATCGAGCCTGTGACTGGAGTTCCTCCAAGTTGTGCAACGCGAGGGCGGCTAAGGACCCGAAGAGTTCCTCACAGGCCTCAGGTTCGGGAGACTTTAGGGTGTAGGGTCAAGGGTAGGTCGCCCTGTCAAATTTCAATCTCATGGGTTTAATGTAAGGGTCATTATCCCCAAGATTCGGGCGGACCAATCTCGAAACAAAG